CTCCGGAAGGGGCGGTGAGGAACCCAAGTGGACGGAGACTCAGAGAGACCCTAACCGTGCGCAGTCCCCCCGCCGCTCTCTTGGCCCTTCCTGGCCTTCAGCAGGGAGAGGCGCCCCCCTTTTTCCCAGAAGGGCACGAGTCGACCCCATCCAGGGCAGCTTTCCCCAGCTTGGCACCTTCCAGAAGTGCAGGACTACAGTCTCCTTCCCCGGGCAAGGCTGATGGGAGTTGCAGGCCAGCACGCCTGCAGGGTCCTGGGCTGTCGGTGACTGGCTCGACGAAACAGATGGCCGAGCAGGTTGTTCAGTGCAGGGCTCATGGAGAAGCAGTGCAGGGAGGGCAGGATGCCCCTGGGTGGGTTGAGCCACCCTGTTGTACAGGCAACCCCCAGTTGTCCGGGCGTATCTGCCAGCCCTTCGAGGTAGGCCAGGCCAGGAAACATCCACGAGTTTGACGGAACCCTCCTTTATTGATAGAGGCTGTAGGAACAGAGTCTTGAAGGCCGAGCAGCATTTTCCTCTCTCTCCCTCTTGCCTCCAGGGAGCCGGTGGGGTCAGGCTGAGCTTCTTTCTAAAGTTTTCTTTGTTTCCTGGGCTTAAAGCACATTTTTGCAGCCATCGCCATCTGATTTCGCCCGAGTCCTCTCCGTGGTTCTCTGCAGCATCAGATCCAGAGAGCCAGAAGGGCACCTCAGCCTCTTTGGCTAACGTGGCTGCTTGTCAGCGATCCTGGGGCGCCTCTTGGAGCACAGGAAGGGCCAGGGCTGGCAGGACACCCTGGGCAGTGCCGCAGACCTCGTGGTCTGGCACCGGACCATCAGAGCCTTGCCCCAAAGGCAACATCAGGACGGCCAGAAAGGGGTGGGGGACGTCGCTGCTCCTTTGCCCCCAACTCGTGGCTCTGCTTCTGTCCCTCACAGAATGTCTGCTGTCCATCCCTGAGCTTCTCTCCCAGCTGGCACGAGGAGAGGTACCCCGGACCGGGGCCAGGCCACACCCAGGGCAGGACGGGGACTCCCCAGGTAAGGGGGTTCCAGCCAGAGAATTTGGGGCAAGCCCATCTTTTTTTGACTCTGTACGGGCTCAGAGGTGTCGGATTGTGACTCTGCACCCCTCTTGCCCTGGATACGCTCCTTTCTCCTGGGATACCAGAGGGAAAGCCGGAGTTTGCTTGGGAAGAGTGCCCAGGAAGTGGGAGGCAAAAGGGGCCTGTGGGGCCAGGGAGGCAAAGGAGAAATGTCCCCTCTGGCCTTTGTGCCGGGGAATCCCAAAGCCAGCACAGTGGGGGTTTCTGTTGGGGTGGTGGAAGCGCACCCAGGAAGCAACTGCAGAGGGAGAAATGGGGGGAAATCTCAGGCCGGGTTGCGGGTTGTCTCTGTCAGACCCTCCCTGGGCATCCTTGGGTTCAGTCTTTCTGGGCGTTGTCTCTGCAGCTGTGAGAGAGGAGCAGGAGGCAAAGGGCGCCGAGGGCCCGCAAGAGGGCGGCCAAGGTGGCTCTGACCAGCTGAAGAAGACCCGCCCGCGCCATTCCCGGACTCCGGCGAAGAAGCCCAAGAGGCCGGTTTCTCAGGCTGGAGGAAGGCCGCCACCTGCAGCAGGGCAAGGCCGAGGCCCTGGGGAGGGTGCCACGAAGCAGAAGGCCGGGGCTCGGAAAAGAGAGAAGCCGTACAAGTGCCCCAAGTGCCGGCGGAGCTTCCTGGGCCGCATCGCCTTGACCGCCCACCGGCGCCTGCATGTCCGAAAGTGGCCCCGGATCGGACCCCAGGCAGCTGGACGTTCCCCGCATGCCCCAGAACTGGCAGTGCCCCAAGAGGGTGAGATGGGCACCAGTGCCAGCCCCTTCCCCAGCAGCCAGGGGGAGGGCACGCTGCCCTTCTGGCCTGAGATGGCCTTGCACCAGCAGGGCCCTCCGGCACCCAGCTTCAATCCTTGGGCCCTTGGGTATGGGCCCCAGCCCCTGCCGGGGCACCAGGCACCCGGCCTGCCTGGCAACGGGGAGTTCATCTGCGACCAGTGCGGGTGGAGCTTCCACGGCTGGGAGGAGCTGGTCACCCACCAGATGGCTCACATGGCCGCAGAGGGCATCGCTGGCTCGGTGCCCAAGGCGGAGGCGCTGGCCCACCTGGCCAGCGACCGGCCGTACGCCTGTGCCCAGTGCGGAAAGAGCTTCCGGCACAAGCCCAACCTGCTGGCCCACCGGCAAGTCCACACGGGCGAGCGGCGCTACCAGTGCCAGGAGTGCGGCAAGTCCTTCGGCAGCAAGGCTTACCTGGCCTCCCACCAGCACATTCACACCGGGGAGAAGCCCTACGTCTGCGCCCAGTGCGGCAAGAGCTTCCGCCACAAGCCCAACCTCATCTCCCACCAGAAGATCCACTCGCGGGAGCCTCTTCCCCAGGGCAGCCCCCACCCCCTCGAGGCCTTCAACGGGGAGGCTTTCCAGAGCCAGCGGCCTGTGGCGGACCCCCTCGGCCTGGAGGCCTTCCAGCCGCACCGCCCGCCTGCCGAGGCCCCCCTGCCCTGTGCCCGGGGCACCACCCCCCTCCCCCAACTGCCCGGGGTCCTGCCTTCGCCGCAGCCTCAGCTGGTGGTGGACCGCCCCTTCGTCTGCCCGGTCTGTGCCAAGCAATTCCGTTGCAAGCCCTACCTGGTGGCCCACATCCGGATCCACACTGGGGAGAAACCCTACGCCTGCAGCCGGTGCCCAAAGCGCTTCTCTCAGAAGTCCAACCTGGTCTCGCACGAGCGCTTGCACACGGGGGAGAAGCCCTATGCGTGTCCGCTGTGCCCACGGGTCTTCAGCCAAGGCTCCAACATGCGGGCCCATCAGCGCAGCCACAGGAATGTCCCTGGGGCAGAGCCAGAGGGGGGGCTCCGTTCGGGCTACCCGCCCCGACAGATTCAGCAGCCGAACTAGGGGGTGGCCTTTCAGCTGCTGCTGGTGTGCCGGGTTTCTGCTTCTCTCCCCCCACCCCTTGTGCCCTCTCGGCCACGTTGCCCTTGGACAGGGTGTGCCCATGGCGCCTTGCGCTGTGCAGAAGTCCCTCTTGCTTCCAAGGAGTGTCCCCCATCCCCTGAAAATCCCTGGAAGTTCTGTAGGAGTGTTCCTTTTCTTCCAAGGGGGGCTAGAGGGGCCCCAATACTTGGCACCGTTACCTGGAGTCCCTGAGAGCTGGGGAGAGGTGGTAGCCACGTGGCTGGAAAGGAGACATTGCAGGTTTGTAGGATTTAGCTGGCGTTCTGAGAGACTCTGGGGCCGTCCCTTGTTCTCGAGCACGGGAAGTACTTGCCAAAAGTGGCATGAGAGCCAGGATGCAAAAGAGTACCCTGAAATCTGCTAGCCAGAGGGGAGTGTGATGGTCCCTGGCAGGGATCTGGCCCATCCCTTCCCCCTCAACATCAACCCTTTGCCAGCCCCCCTGGGCACGTCCCTTGGGGAAGAGAGCACACGAGGAGGACCCGATTCCACCAACGGTGCCACCTGCCTGCCTGTGAGCATTACGGGGAAATGGTGGACTTAAAAAGAAGGGTGGGCTGCTAGTGCTTGTCCTTTGGGGAGACAGATGAGGACTTACTAAGGGGTCTCCTGGCCCAGCCCCATAAGGTGGGGCTCTGGGTCTTGGTGGGAGAGCTGCTGCCTTCCAGTCCCCCCTTGGCCCACCTGCTGCCGCACCCCTGCATGCAAGCGGGGCTGCCCGATCCACACATCTGCAATCTATTTAATTATTTATAGAAAGAGTAGAATTTGGGACAATTTGGGGCAAAGTCTTGTAAAAAGGAACCGGGGCTGGGAGCTCCTAATTCCTGACGTCGGCAGACAGCAGCGTCCTTCCTGGGTGCAGCCCTGCTCTGGAGACCCACAAATTAGTTTGTGTCTCCACTGATTTCCTATTGTATACTCTTTTCAAAAAATAAAGCAGTAGATGTTAATTTTGAAAGCCCAGCCTGAGCGTGCTTGCTTTTCCGGAGGTTTCTCGGCCAAACCACCTGAAGGACAGCAGAACGGTCATCTCTCTCTACGGGAGCAGAAACCACAAGAGGTGAGGTGAGGTTTTCAGTGAACCGAATCCCCATTCTCTGTCTTCCTATGGCAGTTCTAAATTACTGAAGTGCTAGAAATCCACGAGTAGATGGTTTATTGCAGAAGGAAAAAGACAATCTTTGCAATGGCGAGCGATAACATGGGAGGCGGTTGGGTTCCAGATTAAGAGCGTTGTGTAAAAATGAATCGTAGCACCATCCATGATTTACAGCCGGTTGCATCAAGCTCGCTCGTTCCAGGCGTTGCTCTCGATTATCCTCGCCCTGCCCAAGGATAGCAATGAACTCTCGAAGGCCTTGGCTGCATTTGCACAGCGGGCTCGGGCGGGCTCAGTGCCGCGGCTCATGCAAAGGACGAACGGCGGTTGGCTGGGTTCGCGAAGCCAGATGCTGGCCGAGGGCGGGGACCCAGAACCGCACGTCTGATGGGGGAAACCTGACTGCGGGATAAGCTCGGTCTCTCAGCAAAGGGCCCCCGGTGACACGCTGGGAAGCACGGGGGGGGAATGGCTCGAGGCCG